CTCTTTCTGTCTCCCTCTCTCCCTTCCCCTCTCTCTCTCTCCCTCTCTCTCTTTGTCTTACGCACAGTTTTTCTCTCTCTCTCTTTTTCCTTGCCGTTTTTTTTTTACCTTCTCTTTCCAATTTTATCGTAGATCACATTCTGTCTCTTACCTTTTCCTTCGATTTTCTACTATTTTTTTCTGCCTTTATTTCTCTATCTCTCTCTTTCTCTCTCTCTCTCTCTCTTTCTTATACACACATACTCTCTCTCTTTTCCTACCACCTCTGGCCAAATACTCTTTATATCACTTCTCTTTCTTTGTCACTACCTTCAATTAACTTTCAATTGTCTTTCGTCGGCATCACATTCATTTAACTAAATAAGAGGTACATCTCTTTACATTAAAAGACACTCTAGAAAGGAAACACCTACATAAAAAGAGTAACTGCTGTCGTATCTGGTGAGGTATTCCTACTATATATCTCGGGATTCTTGACAAAATTCAAAGAAGTATCTGTAATGTAATCGAACCTGACCTGGCTTTAATCACTGATGTGTCTTCCCTCTGATCTCTGTACAAATATTTTCATGCCAACTGCTCTGACGGGATTTTTCTCCTTAATGCTTCGATGCTAGATTGGCAATTAGGTCTCACCGTTTTATTGTTGAAATAGTTAAACGAAACCGTAAGTTCTATTCTAGTAGTTTCTTTTCTCGCACTTCTTTCCTGTGTGTCTCCCTTCAGATTTCTTGCTTCCCAGCCATCTACAATCTTTAAAAAATAAATGTAACGTCAAACGCTATTATGTCTTCCTGAATCCTATTCCTTTATTGTTGTGTCCTTTTTAGGGCCAGAAATAAAGGCACAAGAGAGGAATTGAGTTAAACAAATATATTAACACAAACAGTAATACAAACGTAGAGAAACGAGAGTGTTACAGCAAAAATGTTCGGTCCGACTGTCAGAGCTGACTGCTGCAAACTTCCTTTCCAAAAGGCAGTACCTGCTCCTATTTATAGCTGGGAGAGTCCATGCATGCGTGGGTAAATTACCATAACCTTTATTGTCTTTTTTTTTTCATGTCTCATCACTAAAGTTTTCTCATTCTCTTTCACTGCCTGTAAACCTCTGCGTCTTAGTGGCATGATTGCCTTACTTAGGGTGAAATTACTTTAAATAAGTAACTGAAATGTGTCTGCAAGAGGTAGGAAAAGCAATAATTATATTAAAGAATCCACGAAATTAAAATCTCAAATCTTGTTGACTCGGGGACGTGTCGCAGGTGAGAAATCTTTACCTAGTAATGCATGCCTAACAGCAAACTGTCACAAATAGAAAACGTTCAACAATGTCTTGATGTTGAAAAGCGGGTTCAAAGACGAGGAACTGTGAATGCACGACAGGAGATAGGCACGTCTTAAAGCCATATTTCTGTGCTTTTTAAAGCATGCCAGGCTAATTGATTAGCACTCCAGGGGCAAAGGAGGACGACTAACTTCAGCGCAGCAGCTATTCTGTTTATAGTATAACTTCAGACAAAGGCAATAAATCACCGACGTAAGAACTTTGACATCTGCCTTTTCCCGGGTTCTCTAACGCCTCATAAACTTAACTTACCTTCTTTTTATGGTCGACAGATATTTCCCTCCCCATAATGATAATTTCAAATATAGGCCTACAAAATGAGTTCGATAAATCAGATTTTTTTATCTTTAATTTATGTTAACCTAATTCCGACCAGAAAATCCTATTATTCAAGATGTCTAATTTTGGAGTTTTACTTTTAAAATCGATTGACAACCATGGACGAGTTCTGATTGTTTAAAATATCGATTGGGAAATCTTCAATTTCGAAGAATTTCCAAACAGGTCTTTATTTATTTTACTCATCTCTCTCTCTGTCTCTGTCTGTCTGTCTGTCTGTCTGTCTGTCTGTCTGTCTCTCTCTCTCTCTCTCTCTCTCTCTCTCTATATATATATATATATATATATATATATATATATATATATATATATATATATATAGTAGAGCCTGGCGTTGCCTGGGATGTAACAGTAAGAGATAGATCAAGTATCGACCATCATAAAGACTGAAAATAAAATTAACAAAGATTATTGTTTAAGGTTGACGGAAACGCATGTCTTAATTAGTTTTGTTTTGTCTTTGTTTTTTACGAATTGGTCAAACCCAAACTCAAACAAAAACATTGTTTTCAATCGTTATGAGTCTATCGATTGAATAGAATTTTATTATAAACAATTGTCATGTAAATGGAATTTTTAAAGCATTCTGAATGTAAAAATAAAGAAAAAAAGTGTGCAAGACAATAAGAAACATTACCTGCCAAAAAAAAGTGAAGTTTTGTTGAAATCGGTTTAAAAAATGTAGGAAATCCGATCCCATATATAAACGAACATACACACACACAAACAAACAACCTGGGTTTTATAAGTATAACTCGATATGAGTTGTCCTTCTTTCATTCTGGCGACAGTGATGCCTCTTAATTGCGTTTTCAAATTGATTTCGTGCAAAAACAATTGTGTTTTTGCAAATTTTGTCGCTGTCAGAACCACCGCAAGGTAATTTTACGCAGTCCTGTAAAGTTTTGTTGATCCAGAATATAAAAAAATAATAGAGCCTTCCTTGTTGTGACTTCGTGGCTGAGCATGTAAACGCACTGGATCAAACGATGGTTTCCACTACAAAGGAAGACGCATGTTCACGGTGTCTATTTCATATACGAAGTAAGCACGTGAACAAAGTTCGAAGTAATAAAAATGTCGTATAAAAAATGAATAATTTTAAATTCTTCATTTATTAATACAAATATAAAAGTTGTCACTTAGTTGACTGATGTTACCTTCAGCATCCCGACTCTAGAGATTCGTAGACGAACCCTCCAGCAAACTCTCCGTCTACTCGTCAGGGGATATCAGCAACTGACTGTTTACTTTTTCAAAATTTTTTGCATTGAAGTTTTAAAATGATCAATGCACTTTTCATTAGTCGATGGTTCACTATTTCTTCTTTCATCGGCGCACGGTATATATATATATATATATATATATATATATATATATATATATATATATATATATATGAATGTATAAGGATAATTTTTGGGGATTTAGGCTAATCATATAGTGATTTGTCGAGCCCAGGATAATCCTCAGCAGAATGCAGAAAGCACTGGACGGCTGTTTCGTCCTATTTGGGGCTCATCAGCAGTGCGCATCCACTACCGAGAATCGAACCCGGACCGTCGGAAACGTCATACCCAGGGTCAAAAAGCAGTCGTGGCTCTTGGGGCACTGTTCCGAGGTTATCTGAATACCATCGATGAGAACCGCTGCGGAACAGTGTTTGTAGCGGCGCTATATCGAGTCTAGTTTGTCTTTTTAGTCACCGTGGCCGTGGTATATATATATATATATATATATATATATATATATATGTGTGTGTGTGTGTGTGTGTGTGTGTGTGTGTGTGTGTGTGTGTGTGCTAAAATTTCAGATAGAGTATATCTGTAAAAGGACAATATGGATAAAAATTTATCTTAGTCGACGTGTTTCGTCTTCTCGGGGATTTTGTCAAGGCAAATTTGAACGAGGTGCCATATTTGCCAATAAATATGTTTTGATAAAGTCCTCAGAGGACGAAACGCGCTGGCTAAGATAAGATTTCCTTTTATTGTTTATATATATATATATATATATATATATATATATATATACACACACATATATATATATATATATATATATATATATATATATATATATATATATATATATATATAGAGAGAGAGACAGAGAGAGAGAGAGCAACATATGATGCTATTTGAGAATCAGGCGACTCCATGAACAAATTAAAATAGTCCGGGTCGGATCCAGACCCCCAACCCTGAAACTTTGGATTCCCAAATTTTCATTACTGCGATTGTTTTCGGCGATTTTTTACGTGATTTTTTGCGACGATTTTTTTATATAAATATATATATATATATTTATTCGATAACAATTTTTATAACTTGGAAATAAATTTAGGAATAATCGAAATAATTTGCGAAATACAGCGAAAGTAAGCCATAAAGTAAAAATAATTGTTTGTACGGAAAGGACCACGTACATCAAAGTCTCTTTAAATTAAGTGTCAGCAGAAGAATTATCGTTGAACTTTTAAAAGGTAAGCTTAAATATTATGGTTCAGTGTAACCCGGATATAAGAGACCCGGATATAAGAGAAACCCGGATATAAGAGAGATTTTCTCTGGTCCCAAATTAGAGCCTGTGTTAATGTATATAAAATAGACCAAACCTGGATATAAGAGAAACCCGGATATAAGAGACTTCGTCTCCGGTCCCGACAACTCTCTTATATCCGGGTTACACTGTAATACTTAAATGCAACGATCAGTTTTGAGTTCTTACGTAGGTTGTTGCCCCTATCACGTCTACTTCCTCCCTATCGAATGTGATGAAGGCTTTTAAGATAGTACACACACACACATATATATATATATATATATATATATATATATATATATATATATATATATATATGTGTGTGTGTGTGTGTGTGTGTGTGTGTGTGTGTTGAAAACTGTAACTAACGTCCGCTGTGAGTTGAACAGATGTCTGTAATAGGATTTCATGAGTGGTTCTGGTGGCAGACGGTGGGTTCAAAACGAATAGTCACCTGCCATAGCACACACACACACACACACAGATAGATATATATATATATATATATATATATATATATATATATATGGAGAGAGAATGGACATAAAATATATATATATATATATATATATATATATATATATCGATTGAAAGAGCAGCACCTTATTTTTGTTAGGTCTTTATTATATTTTCGGTATTTAATGAGTGTAGAGATGTGATGATGAGGGCGTTCGGTTAATCTATTAGTCATTTTCAAAAATTGTACTTATACTAATATAATAAATGGTACAAAACCTACTGAAAGTAGACATCTTCAATAATTGTCGAATATGGCCAGTACATTAAGTCCACAAAAGAAGACACTATCTATCTATCTATCTATCTCATTCTCTTATTATTTAACTATCCCAGTATGTTCATTATCTATATATCTTCTCTTCATATCTATCTAGCTATCTCACTTTTTTCTTCATATCTATCAATCTATCTATTCCCCTCTCTTCATTTCTCATTTTCTATCCCTCCATCTCTCACATCTATCTATCTATCTATCTATCTATCTATCTATCTATCTATCTATCTATCTATCTATCTATATTATCTTTATCTCGTGGTGATCTGTTCGTATTTATATATCTCTTTATGTGTGTACATATATGTAAGTCTATTTTTCAAACATGTTATAACAATAAATTAAAGAAAAGATATTGTAAACCACTCACTTTTATGTGGGTGTATGTATGTGTGTGTATTTGTGTGTTTATATAAACCCTTAATTGCAACTGCTAGATATATAGACAGAGACTAAATAAAACACAAAGTTCTAAAATATAAAATATATAATATACTACGCTACTTGAGTTTCTCCCGAAATCCAGGATCATCAAGCCAGGGTTATTTTATAATTATAATTTGCGCCCACAGCCTTCGCATTTAAATATGTCGTGAACACCAATTTTAAATATGAATTTTTTTTTTATTTTTTTTATTTTAAAATCTTATCGGGATGCCATATTTGCTAATAAATATTAATTTATATATATATATATATATATATATATATATATATATATATATATATATATATATATATTAAAGAAAAACAGATCACTTTAAGGCTCCATTGTAATAGTTTATTTCACCAGGGACCTTTTAAAGTACCCTGGATCATCAGACATCACTTCCAAAAGGTGAAACGAAAAATGAAAAAAATAAAAATATATATTTATATATGTGTGTTTGTGCGTGTGTATACATATATATATATATATATATATATATATAGAGAGAGAGAGAGAGAGAGAGAGAGAGAGAGACAGACAGACAGAGTCAGTTAGGACAGACAGACAGTCAGAGAGTACATTTTAAAAAATAAATGCTGCGAACTGTGGATTTTTACTCCACCTGTACTTTCTCTCATTTTGTACATATATATATATATAGTTTAAAATAGTTTTAGCAGAAGTTTTAAAAGCAATATAAAAAGTTAAATAGACTTTGTTGAGTTTATATAACAAAATGTGTTTGGATAGATAGATAGATAGATAGATAGATAGATGCATGCATGCATGTATGTATGTATTTGTCCATGAACATCCGTGTCATTCTGTTCATATCTATGGCACGTTTACATAGGTCAATCTACAGTGTGGTCCAAAAGTTTTGTCATCCCTACATAATATAATTTTCTATTTCAGTTGGCTGACGATCACCTACAGTTTGGAAGAGAGTTAATGGGTGACAAGACTTTCGGACCACTCAGTAGTTCTATCTATCTATCTATCTATTTATTTTTCTGTCAGTCTATTTCCGTCTATCTATCTATCTTTTTCATACGTTTATCACATGCTCGTATTCTTTCTCTATTTCTCTCTTTCTCTCTCTCTCTCTCTCTCTCTCTCTCTCTCTCTCTCTTCAGTATTTATTTAGCTTCGTTTAATACGGCCACTAGCTGGAGACACCCAGTGAAAACCAAGATCGCACGAGTAGCTTGCTAAACACTACACTGTCACACCATAGCGAAGCGAAATCTAGCAACGTACAAAAAACTATCAGTGTGAGGTACACAGTGAGAATTAATCTCACTACAGTGATAACAGTTTTGAAAAGATGCTTGCAAATTATTCGTCCAGGGCAAGACACCTACTCTCTTCCTAATCCTTTTTCTTTCATTTTTCTTTTCCTCTAAAATTTTCCACGCCTCCAACTTTTATCTTTTCTTTCTTTCTTTCCTTCTTTCGATTCATCTTTCTTTTTTTTTTCTCGTTCACTTCCAATTATTTTTTGTTTTAAAATATTATGATTTACACCCCCTACACACTCAATAATAAAAAAATGATCTCCGGAAGCTTTAATTTTTATTATTCACAGCCTCGCTAGCGTATCGGCTGCTTCCGAGAGACCTAGTTGCAAAAGCTTATTTTTAGCATCAGTTGCGTAGCTCCTTGTGTGACGATCAGGTTTTTGTCTCTTTGTACGTTTTCTTCCCAAGATACTGTGATGGCGAAGCGGCGTTTATACTTTTCTACGTTTTTCGTGTATGGTTATATCTGCGAGCTTTTGCTCACACCAAGTCGTTGTGTTCAAGCTTAACATTAAAGAGTTGTTCCCTCTCGTGTACGTTACGTCAATGCTCAAGTAGATATGTTTCCATTAAATGTACGTTTTTTATTTTTTTGTTCTGTTTTTTTTTTTCTTTTTTTTCTTTTTTTCTTTCTTTGTCATTCTAATCTTCGCTCCATTTTCTTTGTTTTTGATGCTGGTGAAGGCATGAGTTACATTGTTGCTTTTATTTATTTTGCGAGAATTCATACATTCATGCGTAAATGACTTGCGTTCCATTCGTTTCTTGCGTAGGTGTGTTGTTTTATCTTCGTTACGCCTGAACTGAACGGAAGCTTTAAGTCGGAGAAAGAGCGTGGGCGTGTGCGGTTGAATAATTTTCATATTAGGTACATTTTAACGAACAGTTGTACATACCACATTATAGGCAATGACGTGTGTGTATCTATAAAAACGTGTATACGTAGAGGACGTACTATTAATTATAATCGATATTTTTTTTCAATTTCTTTTATGTGATGAAGTATTATTAATCATTATTAAAGTGTGGCTAGTGTTACTTCGAATTTGAAAAAAAATAATTGCTTTTCATCGCAACTACTCAGACAGTATACGGCCATTAAATAAATAGTAATATCTGGAATATGAGGTTGGTACTATTTTACGATATGTCTCAATCTAGATTAGGTTAAATAATACCGAATTTTGTATGGGGCAGACAATAAGGAACGAACTAGTTATTTACTAGTAATGGTCAAGCAAACTAGTTTTATTAACCATTACTCAACGCTGAGGTACACTTGAATTTTATGAGATGTAGCATTATCGACGATCTTAAATGTTTGACACATATTTCTTTGATGTTCATTTTCGTCGATTTTTATTGCAGATATTCAGTCATTCACTCTACAGCCATGAGGAAAGAAATTGTAATATTATCTTGGATTTTATTAGCTAAAGCTTTGTCAATCATTAGTTAAATAATATTTCCTTAATGGTAATTTTAGTTGCTTTTCGTAACTACTCAAACAATTGGTCTACAGACATTATGAAACTGTAATATTATCTTGAATTTTATCAGATAAAGCATTGTCAAACATCAGAATATTAACTAGCATTTCCTTAATGTTAATTTTAGTTGCTTTTCATCGCCATTAATAGACAAACTATAGTATTGCCTTGAATGTATGTAATGATTAGCTTATTGACCCCTACTTCTTGATGATGTACCTTAATACAACGCTACACATTGTCTGTTACATGACAAGTGTGTCGGGCATCCAGTGAGGAACTAACTAATTATTTTAATATAATGTTTCCTATAAATAGCTTGATAATCTCTATTTCACGATGAAGAGTCCTAATTACCACGTTAAGCACAATAACTTAACAATAACAATTAAGCACATCTAGCACAATAACTGGAACATCAAGTAATGATCGATTGATTGATTGATTGATTGATTGATTTGATTTTTATGGTTTATCAACCTCTTGCAGGTTATTTAAAGTCATAAAATATTTTGGGATTGCAATAATTGTTTTAGGAGGGATAATGATTTTCTGATTCAAGTCTTACTATTTAACTCATAGCTGGGGGTACATGATGTGTATTCATAACTTCCCCATAGATATTTGCACGACTGGAATTGGAACTCAGTTCTCCGATTAATAATTCCGAGCCGGTATCAATTACACCATCCGCATATCTAAGCTTAAATAACTTTATATTTCCAAGCGGTCACTCACCTGGGTACAGCCCAGACTCAACGTTGCTTAACTTCGTGATCGTACGGGAACCAGAGTTTCAACATGATGTCGCCGTAGCCAAAATTTCCAGTCAAGGTTTATCTTCTGTTTTCTTTATGTCTGGTCTTTATTTGTTCTCGCTCCTTAATAATGTTTATATTTTTCTTATATTGTTTCAGATACAGTAAACATTGCATCTTAGTGGCTTTATTACCTTGCTTGGGATGTAATGATTAAAAAAAATCTTTTTAACAATTTTTGTTGTGAACAACAAAGGAACTTATTGTCATCATTCATATCACGTATTTCACCGCTATGAATTATGAGTCAACCAACCAAGTCTGAACCAAGGCGGAATGGTGAGAAACTGCTTCTAGAATTAGCTTATCATTTCTTCTGTTCGGGTTTTCGGAAAGAAACGACGTATTTCGCCGCTATATATTGTCAATAAATTAAGGCAGAACTCAGGTTGAATGGTAGGAAACTGCTTCTAGAATTAGTTTATGATCATTTCTCTTCGGGTTTTCAGAAAGAAATGACGTATTTCGCCGCTATATATTGTCAATAAATTAAGGCAGAACTCAGGTTGAATGGTAGGAAACTGCTTCTAGAATTAGTTTATGATCTTTTCTGTTCGGGTTTTCAGAAAGAAACGACGTATTTCGCCGCTATATATTGTCAATAAATTAAGGCAAAACTCAGGTTAAATGGTAGGAGACTGCTTCTAGAATTAGTTTATGATCTTTTCTGTTCGGGTTTTCAGAAAGAAACGACGTATTTCGCCGCTATATATTGTCAATAAATTAAGGCAAAACTCAGGTTAAATGGTAGGAGACTGCTTCTAGAATTAGTTTATCGCTTCTTCTATCCGATAGTGTATCGTTTATACTGTATATCAGAGTTGAATATGGGGCAAATTGTTAAGAGGGTTTTCGGATTTCTGAGGAGCTTTCACTTGATAACAGAACAAAACGTTCCATCATCTGAAACATTCTTTAACCACGAAAGCTATCCTTTCATTTTTGCATCGCATTTCTACAGGTAGCCTCAACAAAAAAACAAAAAAAGGTTATCACAAAACGAGAAACTTCCCTGCAGTATTTGCGCGTAAGCCTGACGGGAATTAGAACTCGGGCTCTCCGATTAACAACCTCGAGCAATCATCTATTACATCGCCCGCATATTCAACCTTACAACACCTTGTATTCCGAAGCAGTCACCCATCGAGGTACTGACCAAGCTCGACGTTGTTTAACTTTGGTGATCGTACGAGAACCGGTGCTTGAGCGTGATATGGCCTTAAGCACTGCAAGGATCGAGGGAAGCCTGCTAATTATTGTTTTAATACTTTGTATATTTTTGTCGTCCAAAATTTATATAGATAGAGAGAGAGTCGCATGGAAGCAGCCTGTGAGGATCGAACCCAAGACGGTGATTCGGCGAGATCATTTTGCTATAAACATTGCTCTGAGGCAAGCATTTATACCGTTTGCTAATGCGATTAGATAGGGATGGCCAAAAAGTTCTTTCGTTTTCTTAAATATATTTTTTACTTAATAAACGAACGAACTTTTCAGACAACCCAATATTTGCGCGTTTTTTCAAATCCCACGGAATTTCTCCAATTCTCTTATTTCAATTATTTCCATTATTCGGACCGCATCTTTATTGAAATATTCACAGTGTTTTGGCCTTGATACACTCTGGCCTTCTTCGGGATCTCTCTATATATTCGGAGATGAGGTATTGTAACTATTTACATTATTCGGACTTGTCTTTATTTATATATTCACGACGTTTCGTCCGTTCTACACTGGCTTTCTTCAGGTGATATACGTTGAAATTTTGAATCGACCCATTATTTCAATATATATCATCTGAAGAAGGCCGGAGCGTACAACGTCCGAAACGTTGTGAGTATGACTATAAAGATGAGGACAACAGTCCAAATAATGTAAATAGTGTAAATATTTACAACTCATTTCAGAAATATAGACAAGTCGTTCTTCTTTTATGTTCGATCATGACTCTCCACAATTTCCTTTTGCTTCTTTAAGTAATGTTTTCCATTCACCCTAACCCTTGTGCATCTCTTTTGTTGCCTGTTTAGAGGCCAGAAAGAAAAACACGGAAGACGAAGGTAGGTTGAACAAGTGTATTGAAATAACAGATATATACAAAGCAAGAGTGTTAATAATAAGCAGACAGAGGTGGATGTCCGAACGGTAGGTTAACACTGCGTCTCCGCTTCCCAACCGACTGCCCTATGACTGTATATTTAACAGTTCTCCCATAAGGAATGTATGTGGCACAAGGCCGAGTTTAACGTGGGTCTCTCCGAGCCCGTAGGCTCGGCCAAAAATATTCCCTTGGAACCCACATAAGCAAGTTCGGGATCTGTCTACCTCCCCGGACGAAACTTTCCCCTTCGGCAAAGCTTCGTCCGGGTTCCTCTCTGCCAAAACAGAGAGTTCGACAGAAGTCGAACACATTCAGAGACAGCTCACGAATCTTGATAGGAAGTCTCGCAGATAATGTTTATGAAAAGAAGGAAGAGTTCATTCTACTGTAGGAAGGCTTACCACAACAATCTCTTGTCCCCAACATGACCTATGAGGGTTGAATTATCTAGGTTCTCTTTCTTCTATAAGTTTCCCAGAAATGACATCTGTCTCTTTCGGATCGTAATCATAAGTTACCTTATTACTCTTTTTTTTTTCTTTAAGAAACTACTTTGATCGTCATTTTCTCAACATGTTCTTAATATTTATTGATAGAAGCACATCTCCTTCACTTCAAATTTCCACTTCATCTGTGAGGCAGTCCTCAAGTAATGACTGTCATATTAGATATTACATAGCAGTTTATCACTCTCTTTCTAACGATATTATCCCATGTCTTCATAGTTTGCTTAGCTTATGAAAGTCATGAAGAGATTGTCCAGCATTCATTGCCATATAGCAGATTAGATATTACATAGCAGTTCATCACTCTCTTTCTAACGATATTATCCTATGTCTTCATACTTTGCTTAGCTTATGAAAGTCATGAAGAGATTGTCCAGCATTCATTGCCATATAGCAGATCAGATATTACATAGCAGTTCAGCACTGTTTTCTTTGTTTCTAATGTTATTTTCCTATCTCTTAATAGTTTGTTTAGTTTGTGATAGGCATAAAAAAATCGTTCTGCATTCACTGGCATATAGGTGATTAGATATTACATAGCAGTACAGAACACAATTCTTCGTTTCTAACGATATTTTCCTATGTCTTAATACTTTGCTTTGTTTCCGGAAGACAATCTTTCGCTGTTTCGATTGTGCTTCGGATTTCGCTGTCACATATTTTGTCACTTGCTACATCTATATCCAGATAATCAAATTGTCTCGTGAGACAATAGCTCAGTGTATTACAGCTTTGGCTGGTAAATTTGCGGACAGAGTAATTGTCAGTTGAATCTCAGTGGAATTGTGGCGTAGAATAACGCAGCAGTACTAAATAAGGCTATTCAGCATTCACTGGTATATAGAAGATTAGATATTACATAGCAATTCAGTGCTGTTTTCTTTCTTTCTAACGATATTTTCCTATGTCTTAATACTTTGCTTAGTTTATGAAACGCATGACGGGATTTTCCAGCATCACTGTCATATAGGAGATTAGATATTACATAGCAGTTCTGTACTCTTTTCTTCGTTTCTAACGATATTTTCCTATTACTTAATACCTTACTTAGTTTATGAAAGGCATCAAGAGCTTTTCCATTATTCACTGCCATATAGGAGTTTAGATATTACATTACCTTGCTTAGTTTATGAAAGGCATAAGGTGAGTTTTCAGCATTCACTACCATATGTAACAGATTAGATATTACAAAGCAGTTCAGATATTTTTCTCTTTGATTATAACAATATTTTATATATGAGTAAAATTCAATTTACTTGAACAGACACTTGAGCTGCTGGAATAGTCCATCATTCTTGGGGTACATGATATCTTTGACTGATTGGTGATGATCACGATGTCAGACTATTGTCCTCATCTTTGTCGCCATATTTATTTCAGCGTTTCGGCTGTTGTAAGCTCCGGCCTTCTTCAGGTGGTTTGAATGTCGAACTGAACCCTTTATTTAACATGGCACGTAGAACTAGGACAGTCTACCCCAGTGAGCGAAATAAAGGGTTCAGTTCGACATTCCAACCACCTGAAGTTGTAATAAATATGGCGACAAAGACGGGGGCAGTAGTCCGAATGATGTAAATAGTGATCATGACGTCGTACAACATAGCGGTTGCCGGCCATTAACGTGTTTAGGGGGAACGAGCAGAGGCAATCCATCCTTTCATGAACAAACTCCAGTTTATTAAGAAACCACCAACAGCCTCTATGATGTCTTGTTGGGATCCATATTTATATTTTTTTTTCCTCTCATGTGTTTTATTACTGTAAGAAATTTGATTTTGGCCCGGTAGTTTGTCAGGGTTAGGGTCGTGGAAATATTTGCAGAATATATTTTCCACAGAGAGACTTCTGCAAACCCTCCACAAGCCTACAGTCCAAATAGTATTTTTCATGTTTTCATCACACATCCATTGTTTAAAAATTATGGAATAAAAAGCAAATCCAAGAAAAATACATATCGTATGCATACACACATTGGTTGAGTAATCCAAATAGTGACTTGACCCACAAAGTTGTGAGTTCAATACCTGACCACAGTAGAAGGAACAAAAACATGAAGAGTTGAAATACTAAAAGGAATTAGCTGGTACTGAGATATGCATAAAAGGCATGACATGTGGAACTAGAACAATCTACCACTGTGGACTAAATAAAGAGTTTGGTTCAAATTCCAACATATATCACTTGAAAAAGGCCAGAATATACAGCGACCGAAACGTTGTGAATATTGCAACGAAGATGAGGAGAACAGTCCGAACAATGGAAATTGTGTAAATAATTACAATACCTCATCTCAGAAATATAGACAGATATTGAAGGAGTGAATATGGCAATAAAGATGAGGACAACAGTCCGAACAATGTAAATAGTGTAAATAATTGCAGTACCTCATCTCAGAAATATAGACTGAAGTCAACAGCATTCAATGTAAGTTTCATATAGACATACATATAAATACATCTTATATATATATATATATATATATATATATATATATATATATATATATATATATATATATATGATTAAAGAAAAATAAAAATAAAATTTCGGTAATAATTTATTTCATGAATATATTTAAATATTCATCTTTTCAAACTGAATATATATATATATATATATATATATATATATATATATATATATATATATATATATATTAACTGGCTACTCGTATTCGAGGATACCCGTCTACTAGGTTGCTAGCCAATGCCTATTGCAAACGCTCGCTCAGACACATTTGCGTTTGTTCAACACCAACTGAGTCCACCTGTGGTTTATACTGCAACTATTCTGAACGGGCTTTAACTACAGTTTCTGGGAGAGAGTGCGTTATCTAGCGTGATCAACAATCCGAACAAGGCCAGCACGTTCAAACCCTCGGTCACGATGACTTGTGACTTCGTGCTGGCACAGCCTTCGACGGCTCCCAAGGGTTCCGTCTACACAATTTCACTCACAAAGCTTGGGTCAATCCGTGGTATGGTTTTTCAGGCACTTTCCAAAGGTGCCACACGCTGGGATCGACACCTTCTGCCCGATAACATCAGGAAGTCTCCTTCCTGACAAATCAACCGTGGTGAGATTCGAACCTGGCTTTCATATATATATATATATATATATATATATAATTATTTTTATAAAAAAATTTATAACATAAGTATGTTATAAAATCACTACAAAAATAGCCATTTTGTTTCAACACACTCTGTGTCTTATCAAGTGATGGTGTTGAAAAGAAAATAAATGGTTTTAAAAGTTTCAGATTAATTAACGATCCTACACTAGGGGGAGCATTGTTACAAAAGCTAGAATAACCAATCAAAACCGAAGTACAGAAAGATTCATATATATATATATAAGGGGAAAATGTATGACAAAGTGGAAAAGCTTTAATTGTGATGCGTTTCATTCTTCTGAACTTTATCAGACTAATATCGTTATGTGCGCAGGAACGAATGTTGGGGATTTTAGACTGTTTTTTTTATCTCGTCGAATCATTCATATATATATATATATATCGCGGAATATATATATATATATATATATATATATATATATATATATATATATATATATATATATATATATATATATATATATATGTATGTATATA